CTACATTTTCAATCTGGTCCAAGCGCCGCCCAACTGGTAGGATTACCCGGCTCACCCGGCGCTGGAGCAGACACTGCTTTTAACAGTTGTCCTCCTGGTATTACATGTATTGCACGCCTACATGTATACGATGTATTGTACACCTTCTATTCAGTTCTTCCTCCAAAACGTATTCCTCTTGCACAGGTTTCATGTCCCGACCTTTCCCATTCTTCTGCCCACACAACATGTACATGTACTTTGTAGTTTGTAGTTTGACCTTTCTTCTTACTTCACTCTGCTCTACGTATCCCCGGACCAAAGGCTAGCATACTTACTCACCCTATAGAAGCTGCTGCCTTTCTAGTTTCCTACGGATTAGTTTCTTGCCGATTAAGACCAGCTCTCCGCAGATCAGTTCCCTGTAGATTAGTTTCATGCTAGATTACAGTGTACTACCTGAGAACTCTTTCTCTCTGAATAAGTGTGCAATTCTGTATGATAACCATTATCCATTACTGTAACCGCTTGCTCTACCGACTGAGTGAAACCGGGACTTAACAGAACCCTGAATCTGTTTCCAACGAAACGAGTACGAGCCGAAAGAATATTTCATTCCGCATTCGATTCGTAGCTAACGCGAAAGGTCCCTAGTGTTAAAATCTTGAATACTACGTGTAGTTGTTGCACGTGTAGTTTTTGCACGTGTAGTTTTTGCACGTGTAGTTCGTAGTTCATTGCACAGTTTTTTTATTATTATCACGGCAGTAGTGGGATATTACCATTTGCATAGGTGTTTATTCTCACTTTGCTTCCCTTTAATAGTACCTTTATTGAATGTTCTATTCTTTTATACAACGAAGTTTCCTGAGGAGTGCTCTGCAAAAACTAGGTGGAAGCAATGGTTTTTGTTCATCATTTATAACCTTATTTTACCTTTCATGTTTTTCACCGCCTTCGTGTCCACGCTTTTTTAGCACAATCTAAGGCTCTGTGATCTTTCGGTTTGGATCGTTCTTTTGATCGCCATTCGATTGATTCCCGACGCTTTTCAACTTAGAAGAATAATTAATAATTAACATTTAACTTCATGAACTAAGACCTCCTTAGAATGATAAACCAAGAAGAGACTCGCAACATAAAAATCAATTCGACAAAATCATTTTTATTTAGGAACAGCGGAACAAAATGAATACACATGCACAAGTACATGTACGGGTCTAATCCAACCGAAACAAAAACAAGAACATCTTGAACAAGAGACAAAATCACGACAAATAGACAGCAACACGACAAACAGTTGGAATTAGCCACACGACGACCTAACAAACCAATGACGGAATTGCCATCGGCTCTTTGCCAGCAGTTAATTCTCGGCGTTGAATACTGCCGGAAGCAACAGAGGTTCAGAGAGAGGTGCCTGCTTCTCAACCTGTCAATGAGTGTGGTCCTCATGTTGCGGTGCTAGGTATGGTTATTGAGGTGGCTGCATTTGTTCTGTGGTTACGATTGATTCAGGTTGATGTGATCACGCAGGTTGTTGATGTGGTGATTACCGCTGTCCGTTTTGGGCATGTCATGGCTCCGAAATACGGCCCTGCTTCGGCTATTACAGGTAACTGAGCCGGCTTATCTTCTGCAGGGAGAAACAGAAAAGATGTAGGAGGAAAAACAATATTATACATTATTTCAAATTAGTGAGCATAAATACATAGAAACTACAAAACCTGGGAATCAGAGGGACTTTATTGTTTTGTGTGCTAGAATTATAAGTTACCTCAGTCATACCAAGTGACGTGTAGGTCCTTTTTCTCTTCACAAGTTAACATAACAAGTGGACAAGAATATTCCAGACATTCGAGGGCATTACGATTTAAAACAAATCAACCTTCAATCCTTTCGAACCTACCTTTCGGGTGGAAATACCAACATCGATATCCGTATTTGCAGCCTTTTTTCGAGTAAAAAAACGGGCACAACATTCTGTGGAGATGCGTCCGTAGGCCAATGATATACGCATAAACACAAGTTGAGCACTTTTTCGATACCGGTCCAAGTGGAGGAAATTAGAGAAAAATAACAATCCGTAATATATTCTACAAATTGTGGTAGTCCCACTGAACTATGGCTGATAGTTGCATGACTCTTGTTGTAATCTATATTTTGTCTCTGTCATTGATGCGCTTTCAGTAATCTGCTGATATGCTAGAAGCATCCTAGACCTACCTGCACTGTGTTCCTTCTGTACGCAGTCGCCACATACTTGGCATGCCCTATCCCTAGCGCTGGGTAGTACCATGCAGTCTACCAGTGACGTAGGTCTCACGTGATACTTGTTGTAGTGATTGTAGATCTAGATATTGACGGATTCTGGCGCAAGGTCGAGGAGATCGAGAGAGAGAGCCCGAGAATGGCGGCCACATCCAAAGTGTCCTAATATTATCCAGAACCGTTTTCCTTGTATTTATTCTTATTGCATGTATTGATTAATCCCATTGCTGGATTGAACCGTGTTGGCTGGTGTGAACTGAGTGACGAGTTGACTGAAACATTGGCGCAGTGAACAGGATTCTTTTCTAAGTAAGTCACTCGTTGAAGTTTGTAGTTTTCACCACGCACGTGGGAAATGGCAGAAAAAGTAAAAGTCGGCGTCCGCCTTGACCTGGACCACGAGCTGGGAAACGATCATTTCCTTACTTGGCGTAGTCAGTTGGAGATTGGCTTTGCACTCCACGATGTGAAGGATCAGGCGAAGCAGTATTTGGCAGCAGCTGCCAATTTAGGCGAGTCAGCAAGTCACTACTTATGGCAGAGCTACCCGACAGTGCCAACTACTGCAACTAATCCCTACAACGATCTTATCAAATTGTTCCAAGAATATTTCGGCTCGAAACAGAGCGCAGCGTCCCTTCTGGCGGAATTGTTTGCAGTCGAGCAACGTCCTGGGGAGACTGTACAGGCCTTTCGGCTGCGGGTGCAAAAAGACATGAGGGTTTGCAATCTGACCAGCACTCGTACTGCCGAGGAACTACTGGGAGTTGTGGGAGTCCACCTGTTTGCACGGGGGCTCAGCTCTGCCAGTGCCCGAAAGAGTGTCTTGGAGCACGATGCGCAGGACTTGAGCTCCTCCGCAGCCAAAGCGCAGGCAGTGGTATTAGCTGAAGAGGGTGCCAAAGAAGCACCAAGGCCAGAGGTCAGTTATGCAGCTACGCGTCAACCTGGACATGCACCATTGCCAGCATAAGGCTGTGGGTATTGTGGAGACACGCACGCTCCAAGCAAACCGAACTGCCCAGCAGCGCGTATATTCTGTGCCCAGTGTGGGCGTAAGGGACATTTTGCATCCGTGTGCCGTGCCGGATCTGGTCGAGTGGACCGCAGTGCCCAGACCCAGTCGCAGAGCACATCATCCAGGCAACACAACCGATCAGCACCAGCCGTTTCGTCACTCCGAACTGGTGCAGCATCACCAGCCGTACAGTCCACCCAGCCACCAGAGGCCTATGAAACATTCGGGGTACAGGCAGGGAAGACCGGTTTCACTCTACCTCTGAGGCAGGTAACATTGGACTGCCGACACACCTTGTCGCTAAGAGTGGACTCTGCCAGCATGGTTTCCATCATCCCTAAGTCATTACTCCCATTGGGGTACGTCCTGTTACCCCCACCATGCCCACTCCAGCCAGTGGGGACGCAACGCATAACAGCTGTGGGCGTGTTTGAGGGTAACCTGAGCTATCAGGGCCGCGAAACGACTGAGACTATCTTTGTAGTCGATGACGCACAATGCACTGTGCCAGCATTACTGGGAGAGAAGGCCTCCATCCGGTTAGGTCTTCTGGCATTGCCAATTTCAGCAGTTGAAATCCCAGCCTGTGCCGAGGGCCTAGCGTCACTCCCTGCTATGCGCGGCCTGATTACAATCGCTCTCGATCCGGATCACCCTCCGTCACAACAGTCATCTGGACGGGTAGCACCGGCACTGCTCACCTCGCGACGCCAACAACTAGATGCATGGCTAGAACAAGGAGTGGTCGAGATGGTGGAGGAAGTAACGGCTCAGGACTTTGTTTCGCCACTGGTAGCCACACCGAAACCCGACAAAACCATGCGCTGGTGCGTAGATTTACGACAAGTCAACGCAGCGGTAAGGCGACCGGGTGTGCAACTCCCAACAGCTGATGAGCTTCTATCTCAACTGTCAGGCGCACAGATGTTCTCGAAGCTTGACCTGAAGTCCGGGTATTCTCAGCTCGAGATCTCACCTGAATGTCGCCATGCCTTCGTGGTCGCCTCACCCTTGGGGTACTTCCGTTTTTGTCGTCTACCGTTCGGCGTGTCCAGCGGCCCTGAATTATTTCAATGTAAGATGGAGCAAATTCTGGCAGGATGTGAAGGGGTAGTCATCTACCTAGACGACATTCTGATTTATGCTCCATCATTGGAAGAGCATGATCGACGCAAGGCAGCAGTCCTGACGGCTCTCAAGGAGTACAATGTCACCCTGAATGACAAGAAGTGCGTCTTCCAGGTCTCAGAGCTGGAGTTTCTGGGGCATTACGTCTCGGCGAAGGGCATTTCGCCATGTCCATCGAAGGTTGCGTCACTCAGTCAGATGTCGGATCCCACCAATGTGGCCGAACTCCGAGCATTTCTGGGCTTAGCAGCCTACACGGCAAAGTTTATTCCTAACATTGCCTCGGTTGTCGCTCCGATGACAGCACTATTGTCTGGCGAGTGGAATTGGACATCGGCTTGCCACACCGCAGCTGAGAAGATACGCAGTCTGATTACTAGTGCACCTATTCTGGCGCTATTTGACCCAATGCTGCCGACCCGCATCGAAGTTGACGCGTCTGGCCATGGCCTTGGAGCAGTACTCCTACAGCAGTCGCAAACAGATGGTCAAGAGTGGCGACCTGTCTATTACGCAGGCAGAAAGTGGTCAGATGCAGAGTCACGCTATGCACCCACTGGCGGTCGCGTGGGGCTCTAATCGTTTCCGCAGCTTCATCACCGGCATGCCTGTGACCATTATCACTGAACACAAGCCACTGGTTCACGTATTTATGCCGTCGTACAAGCTAGCCTCAGCTAGTCTCCGAGTACAGCGCCTGGTGTTGAAAGTGCAAGACTTGACCCTAACCGTGCAATATCGCCCCGGCAAGTTGAATCACATTGCTGACGCATTGTCCAGGCTGCCGGCTGAGGATGCTGACCCGAGTTTCCTTCTCGTCCATGCTGTCACCGTGGCAGACGGTGTTTCAGCACATCGCCAGTTGATTGCCAGAGAAACAGCGCGTGACTCTACTCTGTGCTCAGTGCGAGATGCGCTGCGATCGGGTAAATGGCCGTCGGCGACAGAGCTCGCACCGTACCAAGCCCTTAGTCCGGAACTTAGCGTGTGGCCCTTTCCGAACTCGTCGGACTTTCTCATTCTGAGAGGGGAAAGAGTGGTGATTCCAGCATCGGTAGCTCAACACGTACTGAACCTGGCTCACGAGGGACACCTTGGTCGAGACAGGACACTGGCTCAACTCAAGGAGACTGTGTGGTGGCCCTGTTGGAACACGGCAACTTGACATTTCCTAGCCAGCTGTACACCATGTGCGACAGAAGCTGCTATACGACCAGTACCGCTGAAACCACGCGACCTACCTCCACATGCCTGGCACACCGTCACTATTGATGTGTTTTATTACCAGCAAAGCGCCTTCTTCAGCCTTCTGGACTTGTACAGTCGGTATCCAGCAGTTGTCCGCTTACCAGCTGAGAAGACCAGGGACATCATCAAGGCGCTGGAGCAGATCTTCACGCTGTTCGGCATGCCACGGCACGTCATCTCTGACAACGGTGCACAGTTCTGCAGCGACGAGTTGCGCAACCAGCTTGAATCGTGGGGCATCAGCCACGAACGCACTGTGCCTTACACACCACGTCAGAATCCTGTTGAGCGTCTCAACCGGACATTGAAGCAACATATGCGGAAATCCGGCATGCCACGAGCAGACAACGCTCTTCGTGTGGCGCTCAAAGCTGTTCGATCAGTTATCAACACCACTACCGGCAAACCGCCGGGAGATCTCCTACTACGAGGAGGTTATCGTACTCCACTCAGGCAGCTTAAGCTAGTAGATAACATGGCTACTGCCGAAGATGACGACGAGATAGACGAGGAAGTGCGTGAACGCGATGCTCAGCACAAGGCAGCATCCAAGGTGAATTTCGACGCAGCTCACCAAGCAAAATCCCGCACTTTGGTGCCTGGACAAGCAGTGTTTGTCAAGCAACCCTCTGGCTCAACTGAGAAAGCTACCATCGTCACAGCAACACCACATGATGCAGTCATTACGACCGAAGAGGGAGTGACTTTCCGCCGTCATCTTGACCGTCTGCAAGTGGATCCGACGGAGGTAGTAGCAACAGCTACTCCGCTAGATTCCGCAGTTCCATCAGCTCCCGGCAGTCCAACGGCCACAACACCTAGTACTGTTCCGCCAGCTGCTGGCCGTCCGCAGCGTACGACTCGAAAGCCAAGTCGTTATCAGTAAACCGCTGGTCTTTTCTAAGAAGGGAGGAAATGTGGTAGTCCCACTGAACTATGGCTGATAGTTGCATGACTCTTGTTGTAATCTATATTTTGTCTCTGTCATTGATGCGCTTTCAGTAATCTGCTGATATGCTAGAAGCATCCTAGACCTACCTGCACTGTGTTCCTTCTGTACGCAGTCGCCACATACTTGGCATGCCCTATCCCTAGCGCTGGGTAGTACCATGCAGTCTACCAGTGACGTAGGTCTCACGTGATACTTGTTGTAGTGATTGTAGATCTAGATATTGACGGATCCTGGCGCAAGGTCGAGGAGATCGAGAGAGAGAGCCCTAGAATGGCGGCCAGATCCATAGTGTCCTAATATATTATCCAGAACCGTTTTCCTTGTATTTATTCTTATTGCATGTATTGATTAATCCCATTGCTGGATTGAACCGTGTTGGCTGGTGTGAACTGAGTGACGAGTTGACTGAAACACAAATACTTTTACCTAAAGCGGGATTCACAGAAGCTTTTTTGCGATGATTACCGCTGTCCGTTTTGGGCATGTCATAGCTCCGAAATACGGCCCTGTTTCGGCTATTATAGTTTACTGAGTAGGTCCATTTTCTTTTCATAAATTGAAAAATAACAAATGGACAAGAATATTCCAGACAATCAACGGGATTAAGGATTTAAAACAAATCAAATCAACCGCTGTCCGTTTTGGGCATGTCATAGCTCCGAAATACGGCCCTGTTTCGGCTATTATAGTTTACTGAGTAGGTCCATTTTCTTTTCATAAATTGAAAAATAACAAATGGACAAGAATATTCCAGACAATCAACGGGATTAAGGATTTAAAACAAATCAACCTTCAATCCTTCCGAACCTGCTTTTCGGGTGGAAATACCAACAACGACCTCCGTATTTGCAGTCTTTTTTCGTGTAAAAGAATGGGCAATAAATTCTGCGGAGATGCTTCCGTAGGCCCATGATGTACGATATCGCATAAACACAAGTTGAGCACTTTTCCGATACCGGTGAAAGTGGATGAAATTATAGAAAAATAACAATCCACAATATATTCTACAAATACTTCTACCTTAAGCGAGATTAACAGACGCTTTTTTGCGCTGATTACCGCTGTCCGTTTTGGGCAAGTCATGTCTCCGAAATACGGCCCCTCTTCGGCGATTACAGTTTACTGAGTCGGCGTTTCTTCTGCAGGAAGAAACAGAAAAGATGTTTGAGGAACAACAATATAATAAAGTATCTCAAATTGGTGGGCATAAATACATAGATGTAGAAAAGAAAAGGACATAATGGATACGAGTTAAGAGTAACTCTCCATCACTGTAACTGGATACTATATACAGTCAGAAAGTGCAATAACTAGGCACAAAACTGACAGTACTGAGTACTGAGACATTCGACGTCCTCAGACCTAGCTTCAACACATCCCCGTAGCGCTAACCGACAGCCTTCCAACTTGGAAGGTTCAAGGTTATGAACGGACCATCTGAATAATGAACATGGAGCAGATTTCTTCACTCGTCTCCTCCCCCTCCTGTGTTCTTCACTTTTTTGGAGAATTTTGCGCAAGGGCAAAAGGGGAAGGAGATTCTGGACTGCTCCACGTCTCGGAGGTACATGGGAGAGAGATTTCCTCAGTGCATACCGAATTGTAGGGAGAGGTTCAGCGATTCTGCAAATACTTTTTCCTACTTTTGCCTAACTCAAAATATTCAAACCTATTGAAACGTTTTTGCAATACAGTGATGTGGCCAATCAACGGACAACGACATTTCCATCAGTTCTTATCACATGTACGATGAGCTAGGCAAAAAAGTATAAAAGCATAGCGTAGGGCCCTGAGCTTCCAAGCTCTCTCGTTCCCGTAGCTCTAATCTTATTTTCCATACAAATAAACTTTATTCCCGTAGCTATGCAGAAGACGTTACTTCAGTACATGTACAGTCTGGCGCTAGCAAGGGTCCCAAAAGCTTTAATTCCGGTAGTTTTGCAGAAGACAGTACTTTACTAACGTCTGGCGCTAGCCAGGGTCCACACAGCTTCTATTCCCGTAGCTGTGCAGAAGTTATTGTGTTGTTGTTCAACACTCCAAGTGTACAAATCCTGTTCCTATTATAATACTAACTTCAGTCACGAGTTTCCATTGGTAATTGTGACGAGAAAACGTTGTACAAAAATGTATTCGTTGCTATGATTATGATATGGATGCCCGAGCATTTAAAACATGTCTTTAGGTTTTCGTTCAAAGGATGAGAATTAACGGAAAGGAAAAATGCTTTGTCCAGCTTGTTACCAAATTAGCTCGTTCACCCCCGTGCAACCACACATCAGCGCAACCTGAACAACCATTATTGGTTACACGAGTAGATTATCATTATAAATTGGGTGAGCAAAATATGAATTACAAGTCGAGGCAAACCTCCATGACCAACAACCTCTAAAGCCAAAAAGATCCGCCGAAAATACAAGCTGGCATGCCTGCATGCATGCAGGTACAAAGTCATCATACAAGATGTACAACGCTAGCGTATACTACTGATGTACAGAAACACGTGCACAGTTCGCAACAGACCAAGATTCAAAAGATAAATAATAAATAAATTACTTGAACGAAGAGAACATTGATGAAGCGTAATTATTACTAAAACGGAAAGTACTGCGAAGCAGCTGTACAGTCAGAAATACTTCGAAGTACAAAGAGGAATTAGACATCGAATCAACTGAGTATCATGTTGTCAAAACCAACAGTTCTTCGTCTTCAAGCTCTTTCAAGCTACATGCAAGAATGCACGTTTTCAGAGTGTGAGAATCTGCTTCCGTCTGTGTGAAAGTGACTGTCAAATGAATATTATGCATACGAGGTGCTAGTTTGGCCTGTGAATGAGAGTTATGGGAGACTGATCCCGTTATTCTGGTATTGGTCTTGTCTGATTCTGTATGTATTGGTCCCCGATTGATCGTCATGATTTGTCTCCGCTTTAGTACTAATTTTTCTTTCGTGTTTCTTCTTGTCTTTTCCCGTCGTCGTTTTGTTTCAGACAAATTGGAATCGGTTCAATGTACACAAAAGCGAAAGGACCAAGGAAATAAGTAACGCTATACTGTCCACTAACACCACCAGTTAATAAATAATCCGCTCATGTGATATAATTGCTTGACAATGACCGACAGTACTGACGTTCTACAACTAACTGGCTAACAGCTCTAGCACATCCATTCGAGTCCATTCCTGAAATCTGTTCGTTTAGCATATCTCTCGCTTCCAAATTTTAAGGCCAAACCTTCCAAATCACCAAATGTATGCTCACGTCATTATGGCCACTAGCACAATGAAAAGGTATGAACAGATTAGCTCGACCAGAGCAAAGGTCGATCACTTGCGAGCCACCAAGGTAGCGAGTCCCCAAGGTAGCGAGTCACCAAGGTAGCGAGTCATCAAGGTAGCGAGTCATCAAGGTAGCGAGTCACCAAGGTAGCGAGTCACCAAGGTAGCGAGTCACCAAGGTAGCGATTCACCAAGGTAGCGAGCAGTAGTAAATGTTTCATGTACTCTTGGTAGCGAGTCATCAAGGTAACAAGACACCAAGGTAGTGAGTCACCAAGGTAGCGAGTCAGTGAGTCGCCAAGGTAGCGAGTCAGTGAGTCGCCAAGGTAGCGAGTCAGTAAGCAAAGAATTGACAAGCTACGGAATACAACACCACTAACCTGAAGCCAAAGCTACAGCAATGGACAACAGCAGGGCTACACAGGGTGCACCCCGTCGTCAGGCATTCACCGGCTCGGGTAGTCTTGCTACTCTGTAGCCAGGCTGAATTATGCACGTTGAAGTCCCCTGCAATTATCGCATTGCTGCCAAGACGGCGGACATCGTCCAAAGTGTTGTCTAGGTAGTCCATCAGGCTGGTGTCTGTCTCTGTACAAGAGCCAGGCCCGCAGAGCTGACCAAAAACAGTCTTAGTTGCGGAGTGTATTGCGAGGGAAATCCACAAGAGCTCATGATCACCGCAATCTATATCGTCGTGGTGGGTATGGATAGTTCACTTCTAGCCCACACCGCTACACCGCCACCATGGGCATCTCGATCCTTCCGTATAGGGGGTGAGTATCCTGGGATGGTCAACTCATGGAAAGAATTATCTGAGCTGAGCTTCGTTTCTGCTACTATTGTCACGTCTACATTATACTGCAGGAACTGCATGCTGCAGGGCACCTATCTTGTTGCTCAGACTGAATGCATTAGTCACTAGCAGTCGCTGATGACGAGACCAGTATCAGGACGTCGAATGCCTCAGTACTCTGCCAGTTTTGTGCCTATTTGTTTCACTTTCTGACTATAAAATAGTACTTGGCTACAGTGATGGAGAGTTACTCTAAACTCGTATCCATACATATGTCCTTTTCCTTTCTACATTTATTATTGTAAAAGAGAAAAGGACATATGGATACGAGTTTAGAGTAACTCTCCATCACTGTAACATGATACTATATACAGTCAGAAAGTGCAATAACTAGGCACAAAACTGACAGAGTACTGAGACATTCGACGTCCTGACACCTAACTTTAACACATCTCCGTAGCGCTAACCGACAGCCTTCCAACTTGGAAGGTTCAAGGTTATGGAAAGACCAAAGAGGGGAAGGCAAGCGCAACGAAAACGAGCAAAAGCCACAGTCCCAACGGAACAAAGAATGTCGATTGTTACTGGACGATGATGACGAGACCAGTACGATATTTGACAAAGCGGTCTAACTACAATATCGTACTGGTCTCGTCATCGTCCAGTAACAATCGACATTCTTTGTTCCGTTGGGACTGTGGCTTTTGCTCGTTTTCGTTGCGCTTGCCTTCCCCTCTTTGGTCTTTCCATAACCTTGAACCTTCCAAGTTGGAAGGCTGTCGGTTAGCGCTACGGAGATGTGTTAAAGTTAGGTGTCAGGACGTCGAATGTCTCAGTACTCTGTCAGTTTTGTGCCTAGTTATTG